CGCTCTCAATCAGATACTTCGCTCTCAATCAGGCGAATATGTTGTTAATAGTGTATATCCATGTCATGCCTGGTGAGGAAATGGGCCTGGATCTCAATGTTGCATAACCATTCTGTAACGTACAAGCTACATGTCATCCTTGACGATACAGGCACACAATTGGAGAATAGGCCCACAATCGGAGTGCGATAGAGTTCGTGGTCAAGTTTCGTGGTTAGAAACTCTCATGGAAGGAAATGAGTTCGTAATATTTGGGTTTGAAGTGAAGACGACAGGACATACCACTCCTTGTGATGCTGTTATTTACCGTAAAACTGAGATTTTGAATCCCAGCCTCCTCAGAATTGCCTGACCCACTGAAATTTCGAGGGCCACATTGAAGTGGGAGTTTTCCGCCGGAATTTGGGTTTGAGATGGAGGCGTTTTGGGGAGCGCGCGGCACCAATTGCACGTCTGTTTGCACTTTTCACCGCACCCGTGTGTTCTTGCTGGTTGGGCGGGTGGTAATAGGTGGGTTTCGCCGTATGTATTGTATAGGCTAAGGTGATGACACAGATGAGATGTTGGACGTGTGTGTCGACTCTCTGCTGGGCATCTTGAATATACCACCAATCGAAAATATGTCCATGAGACAGGATTATATGGACAACATTTGTTGTTGAGAGTAAGGGAGGGCACATCTTCTGTAAGGTCCTAGAAGACAACAATGGGCAGGTCATGGTATTCCTTCTGCTTGATGCGGTGTTTACAAGTGTATATCCGGCCGATACCTACTTGCTTGTTGTGTGCTAACAATGATGTGGTGCTGCTCAACAACAGAGCGGGCATGTGTATCCCTTCCGATCCTACGGCGTAGCTGCTGTTGATGCCTGTCGTGTGTGGTGCATGGAAAGGAACCAACTGGTGTGCCGAGTCGAAGCCAGTGTTTTGTTTTTTCCCACGATGAGGATCGATCTCAAGAATCGCAGCGGCTGCTGGCCTGGGAATTTACACCTAATCCTGTGGTTGCCAGAGTAGATGTTTTCCTTCCATGAGAATCGGCCTCAGATCTGTTGTCCCAGCATTGCTGGGAATGTTGGTGAAGAGTTTCTTGTCTTGCGGAGTGATTCTGTTTCAAGAACGACTTCGGCTGCATGCAAAAGACTCCATTAATCAATTTTGTTGTATCCGAAGAACCAAGTTGTCTATTTTTTTTCTATTTCTTACAGTAGCGTACCGAATAGTGCGTATGTCCCCGACCCAACCAGTATTCGCGGGAGGGGTGCCAAAGATGAACAGAGGACATGAACAGGTGATCGATCCCGGGACACCGCTGTGTTTGGGCACCAAGCGCTGATGTCGACAGTTATCTGTAGGCCGTTACTACCAACTTTCCTTCCCCCTGCCTTTGATCTCCCTGTCTCTGACTTGAATCAAGTAGCCGCGCATCAAGAAACTGTCCGAAGGCCCACAACTCGTTTTTGTTGACGTGCCTGCGTGCGTATCCGCCATCCACTTTCTCAGTAAGAAGCAAGTGCCTGGACGCCTTCATCGTCGCCTTGAACCAAACTCGCGATGGAGGGAAAAGGCGTTGGCATGCGTCTACGCTGGAGCTATAGCTCGTGTCACTGGAGTTTTGTGGGGCGTGCAGACGTGTCCCGAGCTTGCACGTGCGTGTCCATCGACAAACGATTCGTAGCTTGTGGTCTCCATGTAAATCACACGCGACAGCCACCAGGCACAGTCGGGCGGGTTGCATCTCGAGTCGCGTTCCGGCTATGCAGGCTTTCGGTTTGACGTGGGCACTTCCGATGGAGGTTCTGCTGCAGAGTTCTGCCATCGAGCAGCCGTCAGGATCAGAATATCGGCACACGAAGGGGCATACATCTGCAGCAAGCCTAGGATCCATGTGTTGGCTTCAAGTGCCCAAAAGGATGGTATTTGAAGTGGATAAGCCCGTGAGTATGGCGCCGTGGCCGGCCTGCCTGCAGCAACTATCGTTTGGTGATCACTTCAACCAGCCCATCGCCGAAGTCGTGTTGCCGGCCTCCTTGCAGCAGCTATCGTTTGGGTACGAATTCAACCAGCTCATCGCCGAAGTTGCGTGGCCGGCCTCTCTGCAGCATATATCGTTTGAAGATCGGTTCAACCAGCTCATCGCCGAAGTCGTGTGGCCGGCCTCTTTGCAGCAGCTGTCGTTTGGGAATCAGCTCAACCAGACCATCGCCGAAGTCGTGTTGCCGACCTACCTGCAGCACCTATCCTTTGGAGATCAGTTCAACCAGCCCATCGCCGAATTCGAGTGGCCGACCTCCCTTCAGCAGCTGTCGTTTGGAGATCAGTTCAACCAGCCCATCGCCCAAGTCGTATGGCCGGCCTCCTTGCAGCAGCTGTCGTTTGGAGATCAGTTCAACCAGCCCATCACCGAAGTTGTATGGTCGATCTCCCTGCAACAGATATCATTTGGGTGGTATTTCAACCAGCCCATCGCCAGGGTCGCGTGGCCGTCCTCCCTGCTGAAGCTATCGGTTGGCTATATGTTTAACCAGCCCATCGCCGGAGTCGAGTGGCTGGCCTCCCTGCAGCAGCAGCAGCTATCGTTTGGTTATCACTTTGACCAGCCTATCGCCGACGTTGCGTGGCCGGCCTCCCTGCACCAGCTATTGTTTGGATTACATATGTTTAACCAGCCCATCGCCGAAGTCGAGTGGCCGGCCTCCCTGCGGCAGCTATCGTTTGGACGTGGCTTCAACAAGCCTATCGCCGGAGTCGTGTTGCCGGCCTCCCTGCAGCAGCTATATTTTGGTTATCACTTCAACCAGCCCATCGCCGAAGTCGAGTGGCCGGTCTCCCTGCAGCAGCTATCGTTTGAAGATCAATTTGACCAGCCCATCGCCGAAGTCGAGTGGCCAGCCTTTCTGCAGCAGCTATCGTTTGGAAATCACTTTGACCAGCCCATCGCCCAAATCGTGTGGCCAGCCTCCCTTCAGCACTTGACATTCGGAGTTGACTTTGAACAGCCCTTGGCCGGAGTGATATGGTCGGCCTCCTTACGAATTGTGACTGGTGAGGGAGTTAGCCTTCTGCGACCCTAAGTCGAGGCACGCCTCCGTTGTGCGGGTCCTGCGTTTGACATGGTAGATTGGACACGTAGGGTATCAATTGGAATGCGGGTACATGGACAGGTGCAAGTTGACCTCTATGCGTGAAAAAACCATGTCAGCGACGAGGACCATGGTGCCCACTGTCTCGAGTTGGCGACCCCGTCCCTTTCATGACTGTTTTCCTTAGTGACAAAAGACAATCGTCAGCGGTATCAGATGCTTGCGGGCCAGCAGCCCACATCGCGCGGAGCAGGCCTCTTGTGCAGTTGTTCCCAATGGATCAGTTTCTTGGTACCGAGACTTCCTGAGACGCCGTGAAGCGCCGTACAACAACGAAGGAGAACATGTGTGTGGTGGGCCGCAAAACGATTTGCCCAGGGTAGACACGTCATCAAGGCAAGCGAGCCCTGCTTGAGCAACTTTTCGCCCTTGCCATTCAATATTCAGGCATTAAGATGACACGGGTGCGCATTGTGCAAAAGGTGGCCGCAGTTCGGTGTACGTTGCAGCACCAGATGTAGACAGCGTTACCCTGCATACCACACAAATGGGTTGGGGTTGTTCCTTGTGTTTGTTCGTGAGGGACGAAAGGCAACGGGAGGCGGGGACATAGGTGAGGGCCCCCTCCCTCCCCTTCCCGTCCAACTCGCGGGGTGACGGCTCGTTTGTGGTTGCAAGCATGTCAGCGGGCCTGTTTTTGTTGCTGCTTGTGTAGAAGGGCTTCAACATGATGCTCGACACGCGATGAAAATCGACAATCGACATCTCTCCGATGATGAAGCATTCCAAGGGATTTGTGTTTCCTGGAATATGTCAGGCTGTGAAACTGGATTTGAAGTTAGACTGGCCCCATCTGTAGGAACATGTTGAGAAGGGGGGTCTGGGTCCTTATCGTTTGATTCGTCGTCGTCGAGCGTTGTGCTAAGGCTGATGTTGCTTTTGGTGCGACGAGTCATGGCACGGTAGGGATAACACATTATGCGTCAGAAGCTTCTCGTAGTTAATCAGAACAGTATCCAACCAATAGCTTTCTAGCATCAACCCCGCATTTGATTTCCAGCTGTGTTTCATCTAGCTCAATCACATACTGTTCTCATGGTAGGTTTGTGTTGGGTCAGTGTGTCCATTCCAGGCTGAGATTCAAAGCTCCTCACTTTGAAGAATCAGGAGCGATTCGTTCACCCCTACCGTGGTATGAGTGTTACCTGCTTTAATGTTTGTTGAGAATGTCGACCAGAGTAAGCGTCTGAATCGCAACGCATCGTGATAATTGTTCCAAGAATGCCGTTTACAACAACATTCCTCCGTTCAGCTTGTAGATGTTTCGAATTCTGAGGCAAGTGGCAGCCTCGACATTCGCTGTGGGAAACGGAGGATTGCCTTTCACCAATATGGCGGGGTTGCACATGTACTCTTTTTTCAAGGCCTCTCTAGACGTTGGTTTTGATGTTGCCACAACCTGGGCAATTCTTTCTCGACACGTAGGTGAGAACCAGCTACAGTCTTTCAAGAATTTCGGGGGCAGCCCTCTGACCCGGACTGGCTTGACGGTCCTCTTCCATTTGGTTTTCCAATGGGAAGCATACGTTGCTTATCGCGTGGGTAGAAATGTCTCTTTCGTTTGCAGCAGCGCTCGCACATGGAAAAAAAACGCGCGACACACACCTGAGCGCTGCTCGCAAGGGACGGTTGGAAGCGGTGGTGACGGGACAATTTTTTTCGCGCGCAACGGCTGTTGGATTCGTTTAGACTTTGGGTGTGAACCACAAACTCCACCACCAGGGACAGTTTCATGGAGCTCCAAACCAACGTGGGCTTAGAAAAAACAAACAAAGCGTCCTACTGAATAATCGGCTTGCTCACACTTCGCGCAGCGTTCAACAACACACATGTGTGTGCGGACCAACTGCACACACGCCAAAACAAAAAATATGTCCTATGATCATGAACGAGCCCTGCCAATTCTTCGGTAAAGAATAACTGAGATAACCACAGGGAATACTGCATGTTCTGTTGTATATGTCCGCGACTTGGAAGGGAGAGACTGAATATCGCTTGTATTAGAAACGCAGAAGCAAGAGAAGAGAAGAAGA